CTAAGATCCCACGTGCCATAGGGCAACTAAGCCTGAGTATCACAACTACAGAGCCTGTGCGCTTGGGAGCCCACATGCCACAACTGGAGAAGCCCTCCCGCTGCAATGAAGAGCCAGCACAGCTGACAAAGAGAGGTATCATGATGGAAACCAAGGAACACTAAAAATGGGATACTTCACACCTATCAGGATGGCTACTATCAGAAAAACAAAGAAACGTGTTGGCAAGGAAGTAAAGAAACTTGAATGCTCTGTGCACAGATGGTGGGAAATGAAAGCTGGTACAGCCACCATAGAAAACAGTATGGTGGTAGTTCCTTAAAAAATTACAAACAGCCACGTGATCCAGCAATTCCACTTCTCTGTATATATTCAAAAGAAAGCAAGGTTTCAGAGATATCTGTACACCCATATTCACAGGAGCATTAGTCACAACCGGTAAAAGGTGGAAAGAATCCAAGAGTTCATCAGTTTAGATAAAAAAAATGTGACACAGGACAAACAATGGAATAGTAGTCAGCCTTAAAGAGGAAGGAAATTATGGCATATGCCATAATTTCTCATAGATAAACCTTGAGAACATTATACAAAGTAAGAAAAATAATCGTTACAAAAAAGACAACTATTGTATGAGCCCACTTATCTGAGATATCTAGTCAAACTCATCAAAAACAGGAAGTAGGGAATTCTCTGGTGGTTCAGTGGTGAGGACTCCGTGCTCTCACTGCCGAGGGCTCAGGTACAACCCATGTTCAGGGAACTAAGATGTGCAAGCCATGAAGCGTGGTGGGTGCCTCCTTCCTCAAAAAGAAAGTAGAATGGTAGTTGTCAGGGACTGGAGGAAGGGCAAATGGGGAGTTGATAATGGGCATGAAAGCATTCTGGAAGTTGGCTGTACAACAATGTCACTGTACTTAACACTACTGAACTGCACACTTAAAAATGGTTAAGATGGTAAATTTTATGTGTATCTCAATTCAAAAATTCAACTCAAAAAACACTTAGACACAAATACTTAGAGAGCTGCATTAAGGGAAACTTTAGCCCTAAAATATAAGACTGTTTCACATATCACCTAATTACAAAAGGAAAACAGAATCTTTATAGGGAAATGACCTAGAAGCCATCCCTTTAACCAGGTGATCAAAATGAGTGTCGCCAATAGTTGGGCATCCTGTATCACCTGCCTTGTGATCTGTGACAGATGAACATCAGTTCCACACCTGGTGATGCACCCGGTCAGAGCACATAAACTCTAGGTTATTTTTGCTAAAACTGTTTAACCCAAATCTAAGCATACAAAACAATCACACAAATCCAAGCCCAGGATATTTCTTTAAGAAAACTGGCTTGAACTGTTAAAACGTCCATTTTATGAAAAACAGATCAAAAAGATGTTAAGAAGTCTATTCTAAAGAGAAGCTAAATAGATACAACAACTAAATGTAAAACCTATTTGAAAAAAAAAACACACCTTTTTTTTTTTTATGTACAGAGTCGACTGTGACAGAATGTTATAAACTCGTGGCCCTGTTGAAGGTACTCACTTCATAATTCTTTCACTTTTTCTTCAGGTGTGAAAATTCCCTAACTAGTCTAGGGAAAGGGAGGAGATAAAGCTGAAAATTAATGAGTTAAGGACAAAACCAAACAGGTTAGAAAAAGAACCACAGAATAAACTCAAAGGCAGTATAAGGAGAAATACAGCAAAAGCAGAAATTAATGAAATAGAAAAGAAACTAACAACGAGGAATGACAACAAAAAGTCAGTGCTCAGCAGAGAGTAATAGATGAATTTCTGCCAAGATCGACAAGATTGAAAAAGAAAAAAGCACAAACAAATAATATTAGATATAAAAAAGAGGGATACAACTTTGGATACAGTTAGGATTACAGACTTAAAAGTCAATTAAACTTTGTGCCACAGATGAAATAAGAAATATCACTGACTCAAGAACAGAAACCTGACCAATCCCATTCTCAATAAAAATCTAAAGTTAAAAATCTACCACTGCAAAAATGCCAGCCACAGTTGGCTTTAGAGTTAAAGTTTTACCAAAAATTTTACAAGTGTAAAATTTCAACCTTACACAAACACTTCTTTAATGAGAGAGAACACATATATAGAGAACATTCTCCAATTCATTTTATGAGGTTGGCATAACCTTGAAAAAACAAAACCACCCAGACAAGGGAAATACTGGAAAGGCAAAGCTTCAACCATCTCACTTATGAGCCTGGATGCCAAAATCCTCCCAAATATCAGAAGACCAGATCCAGCAATATTCTGAAAATGCATCATGGCTATTTTACTCTAGAAATGCAAGGATGTCTTAATGTGAGAACTGTCAAAAGTATCTCGTGTTTGCAGATGAAAGGAGAAAAACTACAGGGCCAGTTCAGAGTGCCGTGGGTGCTCCTTGGCACAGATACACGGGTGCTTGGATGACAAGAGAGGAAAGTGAGCTGGGCTGCATCGGGGGGCTCCAGTGGGAACGACCTGGCTATAACGGTTGTCCTGAATTGACAGACACATGGAGTCTGACGGGCCCCAAGTCTCAAACCCAACTGCAGCAGGGTCAGGACTGTTTGGCAGTCAGTCACCTGGACTGGCCATGGCATTGGGGAAGAAGGGCTTGGAACACTCAGCTGACCTTGGGAGCTCTATTCATATGTGGTTAGATGCCACAAGGAAGCTGAAAGAACAGAGGTGGAACTCAGCTGTGGAGAATGACAAAGGGGAATGGTATGCAGATTCTACCTCTATCAGAATTCCTAGCTATGACCCACAGGAGCTAAATGGCTAATAAGGGAGGAAGCAGTGGAAGTTAAAAGGTTTCAGGAAGTAAAAAACGAGGTTATGAAGTAGGTCACAGAATCACTGAGGGATGGAGAAAAGTACAAGGCCAAGCTTATAGATATAACACTCCTTCCCCTCAATCACACAAATACACCAGGTAAAGTGGGGAACTGGGAATTCCCTGGTGGTTCACTGGTTAGGACTCTGGGCTCTGTCAAGCCCCCAAGTACAATGCCTGGTCAGGAACTGTAAGATCACACAAGCTGCATGGTGTGGCAGAAAAACAAAAACCCAAAACAAAAAACAAATGTTTGCTGTTTTATCTGCTCTCACCCCTTGTGCCTTTTGGGTAAAAGAACTTCTCTATGCTATGGGAAACATGTCATATGGATCAGGGTGGCTCATCTTGCCTCCTCTTATTCCCCTTACTCAACCTTGGCCACAGTGGTTTGCTCAGGAGGTAAGTGATCTGAGGAAGGCCAGTCAGTCTTCCCTGAAATTCACAGAGCCTGAAGAAATAACGCTATGTAAGGACTGAGTGCTAACTGGAGCTTCCTGAAAAATACACCTGTAGAGACAAAGGAGTTGGGCAATCAAGAGCAGCAGACAATCCAAGATGAATGAGAACCCTGACAAAACCATGCTGGCCGAGGTCAGCTCTGCTCTGGAGACCACAGACCAATGGGCCATTGTTTGTTTCTGCTGGTTTGAACTAGCCTTTATCACTTTTAAGACAGACAGTACCAAATGATACATACTATATATGACCTTTTGCCCCCTCAAAACTTAAATATACATAAAATATATGATTCTAAAAATATATAAATTACCAAAGTTGACTCAAGGATAGAAAACTTGAGTTCCGCAGGGGACTTCCCTGGCAGTCCAGTGGTTAAGACTTCACCTTCCAATGCAGGGGGTGTGGGACCAAGACCTGGTTGGGAAGGTTAAGATTCCACATGCCTCATGGCCCAAACACCAAAGCATAAAACAAAACAATACTGAAACAGATTCAATAAAGACTATTAAAAAAAAAAAAAAAAAAAACTAAGCAGGAAATTCCCGGTGATTCACCAGTTAGGACTCTGCGTTCTTTGCCAAGGGCTTCAGTTCAATCTCTGGTTAAGGAATTAAGATCCCGCAAGCTATAAGGCATGGACAGAACAAAAACCAACACAAACTAAGCAGAGTTACATCAGAATTCAAGGATGGTTCAACACCGATGTAAATCAGTGCAATCATTAAAAACAAATCTTTTGACTATTTCAATGGATACCAAAAATTTGTCAATGTGGAATAAAGGGAAAAAACATTATGTTGGGTACAGAAGGAAACCTTTTCAGCCTAATGAAGTTTACCTACCAGAATGCTAAAGCAAGAATAATATTTCATTGTGAAACCTGAGAACCATTCTAAGAGAAACAAAGGTGTCATTTGACATTATACTGGAGGTCCTGCCCTCTGTAATTCATAAAGAAAAGGGTGTAAAGAATATGGTAAAACTGACTCTAGCAGGATATGATTTGACTTTCTACCCACAAAGCCAACAGAATCAACTGAACAACTATTAGAAGTAATGAGAATTCAATTAGATCAAATAGGCAGGAGCACAGAAATGGACAGCTTTCCAACATGCCACTGATGGTCGGAAGTGTAATTTCAAAAGAGCCCATTCATAACAACAAATAGCTAAATCAGAATTCTTAAGGCTACATTGAACTAGAAACAACAAAGACCCACATGAGAACTACATCTTAGAAAAGAATACACATAATTCATTTCTGGATAGAAGATCAGAAACTGTTGAGTATGACTCCTCTCCAAATCAAACTATGAGATTTAAAACCATGCCAATGGTAGCACAGGGAACTATAGCCAATATTCTGGGATAAACCATAATGGAAAAGAATATTTTAAAAAGAACAACTATATATGTAAAGCTGAGTCACTCTGCTGTACGGCAGAGATTGGCACAACACTGTAAATCGATTATGCTTCAAGAAAAAAACCCACGCCAATGGAAATCTTAATAGACCTTTTAAATGAAAATTGCCAAGTTCATTCTAAAGTTCTCACATAAAAGAAAATATGAAAATTTCAAGGAACAGTGGGGCAACAGTGAAGGAGAATGAAATACCAACCATGTCATAACATATGGCATATGAACAAAGATCAACAAGCCAGATTTCAGAGAGATTCATAAAAATGTGGAAATTTCATTTATTTTAAAAAGGTACTTTAAATCAGTGAGGAAAGAATGAGCCACTAGATTAATGGTACAGGGAAAAGTGGCTATCCCTTAAAGGGAAAAAAAATTAGTCATCTCCCATAAAAAATAAACTTCAGATGAGTTAAAAATATACCCACATATATACATCTTTAACTCACCTGGTAAATTTTTTGCATATAAATGTACATACATTTCTATACATGCGTATATACACATGTACATACATACAAGTATGTGTATACATGTAACACTATACTGAACAAATACAAAAGAGTGAATGAGGAGCAAGTAAATGAAACGGTAGCTGGAGAGGGTGTGGGATCATTGACAGGTTTTTCTGATTGTTTTTCAGATGGGAGATTCTATCATACTTTTGATGCTAACACATCCAGTAAAGAGGATGATAAAACCAAAACTGACACAAAGTCCTGTAGCAGAAATAGGCTCCAAAGTACAAGAGGAAAGGCTTAAGTCCCACTGGGTTAGTGGGCGGTAAAACGACAGGAGGATCAGTGAGCACCATCTAGGGCAGGTAACAGGTGAGAGTTCCCTCCGATGGCTACTATTTCTTTATGAATAATGAGCTGCTGTGTGTAATTAGCAGAAGGGGAAGTTAGTCAAAAAGTTTTCAAATACAGCATCCTAGGGTAGATCTGCTAGGCAGGGCTGAGTGGCCATCTGAGACTTGTAATTTTCAGGTAAAACTAGTGAGCCAGGTTGGCTGCTTTCTCTAATAGTTCCTTGCGCACAGCCACAGAGGTGCACGACTGGGTTGACCATGGTCAGATTTGTCTAGATGAACATGATGGAGGCAGAAAGGAAGTACAGGGTGTAGACTGTGGAACTGATGCTGCGTGAAGAAGGAAATGAAGATAGGAGCATGATGGTGAGAATGCGGCACGGCTGGAGGATGAAGATAAAGGATTTCTTCCGGGGGTAGGGGGAAAGCATTTCTGTGGGAGGAGGGGGAGTAGTTGAGTGAGTAAGCCTGGAGGTAGTGATTATACAGGTATCTGAATTCCAACGGTGCTGCAGTTTCTAGTGATGTTAGGGGCAGAGAGTGACTAGGGATACAGGCAACAGACCTGGAATAGAAGGGCCTCAGTGATGGGGGCATCAAGGACTTAAGAGGCCACAGCATTGAACGGGCCCATCCATGGATGCAGACAACAATAACGGATGCAGGGGAGGAAGACTCTGAGCCAGGAGGTAAACTTCAACATCTGAGCACTGACTACAAGGTCAATGCCAGCAATGAAGAGGGAGAATGTACAGTCAGAAGTGAAAAGCTTCAAAGGAGAAGTGAAATGATATGGGTGGCTGAAGAGTGACGGTCTGAGCAGCCACAAAGAGGACACCGACCAGGGGACGTACACGCAACGTCACGGTGGGTACTCCTGTGGTCACAGGTGATGAAAGAGACGGGAACAGTGGCTCACGAAGCACCACGAGATTCACCCTGAGTGTCTCACAGAGGCAGGCGGGCACCGAGTCCCACTGTGACCCTACGCGCCTGAGTCAGCATTAACTGCAAGCGGGCGATGAAGTGGGAATGCGCCCATGCATTAACTACATGCAAGCAAGCACACAGGGCCTGGCACTGACCTAAGTGCTGGACGAGACAGAGAGAAACTAGGAAAGATTCCAGAAATTCCCCATTTCCTGCCCACTCAGCCCACCTGCCCATGAGGCCACCACCGAGGAGCAGTGTGTCATCTTATCCACATCTCCCTCCTTCCTCCAAAGAGCCACTCCAACACCAGCATGAGTCAGCACCCACCAGGGGTTTAATTCTCTTATGTCAGAAGGTCAGTTCAGAGAGGGGCCTGCCTCGTCCCCATCCAGGGGGAAAGATCCGCAGAGCCCCCTGGGAATGTCCATGCTCAGAGGAGCCCAGGACTAGTCTCTGAGCAAGAGAAGTGGGTCCTGGGGTCTCAGGTCGCCTCCTCCTCTTCACTCTCCTCCTCGCTCTCATGATACTGTCTGCGGTTGGTGTTAACAAAAAGGTCAGAATCGTCTTCAGAGCTGGACTCTTCTCCTGACGACTGTGGCTCAGCTGGGAGCTCTGGCTGAGTCTGTCTGCACGGGGGATATGGAGAGAGTTAGCCCAGTGCCTTCTGAGAAGACCTGCAAACAAGGAGCCTCACAAAGAGGACCATATGGCCAAGCAGTCAGGGCTCGGTGAGCCAGACAGGGAAAGAACTGCAGGAAAACTGGGCCAAGGAACACTGGCAAAACACTACCTCCCCACACCCATCTCATAAATTCATTAGAACTGCTGATTTTAACAGTAATGATTCTACTATGACCAACTAACACTCAGTGAACTCACACTGCTTACCAGGTACTATACTAAGCAATTTTATAAGCATCAGTCTCTTTAATCCCTACAGACCTCCCAATTTATAGCTGATGAAATCCGAGCCTAAGAGCTTAACCTGCTTAAAGTCACCTGTTTGTAACTTGCAAAGCCCAGACTTTAACCCAGGAGATCTGATTTTCAAGCCATACTCATGACCACATATTCAGGCACTCTCACCAGGGACCTGATATACAAAGAAAGGAAAACTATATTTCCCCTCAAGGTACCAAGGTCTGAATCCCCATTTTCTGTCTTCCTTATCCCAAGACTTGTGTCTCACCTGTTCCTATTGTTGGGTTTCTCAGCCACTTCGGAGAAGGCCTCGGGCCTATGCCAAGAGAAAAGCCAAGGTCACAAAGGACAGAGAAACCCTCTCAGCAAAAGAGCTGTTGCCAGCTGTTCCTGCCTGAAATGCCACGACCTTCCCTCCCCTAAGCCCACAGGTATGAATGAAATCCCCAGAGAAGTGGGGCCACCAATGACCATGAGGACCACCTACCAGTGCCCATCCTTCTGCAGAGAGCGCACGTGGTCTTTGCAGAGCACAAAGGAGATCTCAGCCTTCACCTTCTCTCCTTCTTCAATAGGGTCAACGATGAGAAAGTCCCCTGCAAGGGGAGGAGAGAAAATCACAGTGGGTCCTGCTTGTGGTGGGGGAAGCCAAGGCCACAGGAAACAGTTCAGTCTCCCAAAAAGCTGCCTCTCTCACCTCTCTTGATCCAGATGTTCTTGCGGTACTTGGAGGGCATGCTCACCAAGAAGCGCTGCCCCTGGGCTGTCTCCACCTCATGTAGATTGTTCCCTGGGGTCCTGAGGACCTGGTCCAGGAGAGACCAAGAGCCAATCAGCTTCATCAGCCTGTTCCAACACCTGCTGAGCTGTACAGCACCTTGTCCCAACCCCAGGGGCCTAAGAGGGATGGAGGGGTGGGGGAGGCAGAGCAGACGGTCCCTGATGCCACTCACCCTCACGATCTGCTGCTGGTCAGAGGGCACCATGTGCTCCCCCAGCAACTCCTTCACCACATGTTTCCTCTTGGTGGCCTGAGACATGGTGGGCCCTGTCCCAGGGAGGTGAGGGATGCAGAGACTCTCAACTCTTCCTCCTGAGTGTTTTAGATGGTAGGCTGAGAAGCCAAGACTCTTTTGAAGATGAGGACGGGCCTTTTACCGAGGAGTAACACAATGTCCTGGGGAAGAACATGGGCTCTGAAATCCAATTGACTGGACTCAAATCCCACCTTGGTTATTTCCTGGCTTTTCAATTTTTCTAGACTTCAGAGAACTAACCCAGAGCATTAGTACTAGAACAAAATAATCATAAGCAAAGCAGGAAACACAGCATAAGACACATAAAAGTAACTTGTGTTTATCTCTTAAGTACTGGCATAATCATAAAAACTAAATATATGTTTTAGAAAAATAAGCCCTTCTGGGAACCACTTGGGGAAAAAGCAAGGTAAGTCACTTCTTCCTTAACCTGCTTGTACATCTCAGGTGTGACACAACCACATGGATGTTCAGTCTCTCAACAGCCTACAGACACAGACCATCTAAGACAAGCCAGGTCAGGAATGAGCTAATTTAAGGGCAAGGTAGACTAAATTGATGCTTTTGAACTGTGATGTTGGAGAAGACTCTTGAGAGTCCCGTGGTCTTCAAGGAGATCCAACCAGTCAATCCTAAACGAAATCAGTTTTGAATATTCATCGGAAGGACTGATGCTGAAGCTGAAACTCCAATATTCTGGCCACCTGATGCGAAGAATTGACTCACTGGAAAAGACCCTGATACTGGGAAAAACTGAAGTCAGGAGAAGGGGACGACAGAGGATGAGATGGTTGGATGGCATCACCAACTCAATGGACATGAGTTTGAGCAAGCTCCGGGAGTTGGTGATGGACAGGGAAGCCTGGCGTTCTGCAGTCCATGGGGTCGCAAAGAGTCAGACACGACTGAGCAACTGAACTGAGACCGATTTGATCTTTGGCATCTACTGTTTCTGACCCTGGTACTGCAAGACAACGACTGATGCGTACCCAGAAGACTGTTGTTCACTCGTTAAGTCATGTCCGACTCTTGCGACCCCATGGACTGTAGAACGCCAGGCTTCCCTGTCCTTAACGATCTCCCCGAGTTTGCTCAAAGTCATGATGGTTTCCAAAGGAAACTCCTAAGTGCCATCTCTAGTTGCCGTCCCCTGCCCTCCTCCTTCCCTATCCCGGAGAAAAAATGCTCAGAGGGAAAGATCCAAACTTACTCTCTAGCCTTCGGATCCCACGAGAGCTGCCAGAACGACCCGGTTCTCCAAGCAGGACGCTGAGATCGGCTCGTCCACGACTCACTTCAGAGCTGAGGCAATGAAAGCAGAGAAAAAGGACTCGCCAGTGGTCACGACGGTGGAGTCGGCTTGGACTCAGGTCTCGGGCATATCCGCTTCCCGTCCGACTCTAGCAAGTCCGGCAGTGAGGAGGACAACGCGTGTCGGCCTGAGTCGGACACCGTACTTCAGGCGCTCTCCCGGAAGTCTCCTGGTCACGCCTCTCTCCTTGTCCGTTTCTCTAATTCTTCCCACCACCAGGTCGGCCAAGGTTAAGTGGTTAAGTTCCGCATGCCGTGCAGCAGATAAATAAAGTTTTCTTCTCACAGGTTTCTGTTCCCTGAAGCCGGAAATGCTTCCCAAGAAGCAAGACTACAAAAGGCAGTCCGGCTTCCTGCGAAGCAACCGGAAATGAACACCTAGTAAGGGCGCTCTCGAGGCCCGGGTGGTGTCGCAACTCTATGACTCTAAGCGGCTAGAAGTGCCCAATGTAGGTTTTTGTGTGTTTTTTTTTTTAAGGCGGCCCTTGAGGCGATCCGGAAGCGGAAGTGGAAGAAAGTTCTAGTGGGCTGAGGTAGCGGCGGGAGCAGCCGGCTGGCGGGAGAAGCCGTTACAGAAACGGGAGCTGCGGGTGAGCGCGAGCCGCGGAGCAAGGCTCAGGCTGGAGGCCAGAACGGGCGCGGGGAGGAGGGGGAGGCAGGGAGGAGAGGGGCCGCAGGCGCTGAGAAGGGCCAGACGATGCGCTCCCCGAGAGGGCTCAGCGAGGCGCTGGGAGGGGGCGGGGCGCGGCGCGTTGGGGGCGGGGTCCACGGCGTAGGGCGCGGCGGGAGTCCAGGTGTGGAGCTGACGCGGCTGGCTGGCCGGGTGTGCGTGCTCGGGCTGCGCCTTCGCTCTGTGCGCAGCCTGTGCTGCGGCTGGGTCAGAGAGCCCTTCATTTGCTTTTCGGGCCAAGTGGCCATTCCAGACCCGAGTCAGTGCTGCTTTTGCCCAGCCAAGGTCACAGAGGAGTGACAGCTTCAGGGCGGGCCCTGGGTGCTGACCGACTGTGGAAATCATACCTTTGTCCTGCATGCGCCGCCTGTTAGGGCAAGATAGTTTCTTCTCGGGGGCGGTACCAAAACCCAGCTCCTGCAGGGACTGGGAGAGACTTCGCTCTTAAACAGTGAGGAAAAGACTGCTTGGATCTCAGTTTTCTCATCTGTGAAGTGGGGGGAATCGAGAAAGCTCCCTGCTCTGGCATTCTCTTCCTGTGAGATTGCCAGTAGGTTTGAGGGCGTTCCGGGTTTTCAGGCCTAATTTCCCTTTTCTTGGGATTCCCAGATTAAGCTTGATCGAGATGACAACCTCTCAAAAGCACCGAGACTTCGTGGCAGAGCCCATGGGGGAGAAGCCGGTGGGAAGCCTGGCCGGGATTGGCGAAGTCCTGGGCAAGAAACTGGAGGAAAGGGGCTTTGATAAGGTGTGGAGTGGCCGCCTGTAGTTGGGCGGGGGACGGGGCACGACTACAGTATTTGCCGGCAGCTGGGGAATGAGGAGGGTGTGTATATCGGGGGGGGGGGGGGGGTGGACGCTCGTGTGTGGTCTGCAGAGTCAGCCGGGCAGAACCCACCCTGCCTCTTGGGCTCCTGTGTGGGGAGCCACAGGAAAGTGGCCCTTTTTTCCCCCTGTGATGTTTTATTTCTGTTTGCCCTGGGGTCTTAGTTGCAGCATGCAGGATCTTTCATTGTGACTTACAGGTTCCAGAACCCACGGGCTTAGTTGCCCCACAGCAAGTAGGATGTTAGATTCTGGGCCAGAGATTGAACCCACGTCCCCTGAATTGCAAGGCAGATTCTTCACCACTGGGCCAGCAGGGAAGTCCCAGGAAGTGGTCGTCTTGTCTGTAGTCCTACAGAGCACTCAGCAGCCCATCTTTTGTTTTGCCCGTTTTGCAGGCCTATGTGGTCCTCGGCCAGTTTCTGGTCCTAAAGAAAGATGAAGACCTCTTCCGGGAATGGCTGAAGGACACATGCGGCGCCAATGCCAAGCAATCCCGGGACTGCTTTGGCTGCCTGCGGGAGTGGTGTGACGCCTTCTTGTGATGCTCTCTGGGGAGCCCCCGATCCCAAGCCCCAGCATTGAGTCTCCAGAGTTTGCAGCCTAGTGAGGACTCCTCCTCCGTCCTCTACAAAGGAAGAGATTGCTGTTGTCGTGCACACTTCCCATGTACTCCAGGGCCTTTGGGGAGTTCTCACCCCTCACCATTTCAACTTTTTTGGAATTCTCACCCTTGCATGCATCTTCCTTCTCCTTTCCCTGCCAGTTTCATGACAATAATTAACAGCTTTTCTGAGTGGATTCCTGGCCCTGTCCCTCACCCCCACCCCCACCTGTGGTCTCTTTTATGCCATTTGGCAGTCTTTTTGGCAGAATAGTCACTGTCCTTGTAAAGTTTTTTAAATCAATAAAGCCAGTGGCCTTCATGACTGGGCTTTGTATGTGGGAAGCATGCGGGCTGGGAGTTGCCTGTTCCTCAGGGACTGACCAGGTTTGCCACACTGCTTATCAGTGCAGACTGAAACTGGCAGCTTCCCTCGCACTCCTGAGGGCGGCCGCCCTGGCGATACGGGCCTTGGGCAGGTGCTTCAGAGTGTCTCAAACCCTCACTAATGTGGGAGAGAGAGCGGGTTGGTTCCTTCCCGGGATCCAGATGTCCGTGTGGTCACCAGCTGGGTTAGTCAGCACCTGGTGGAAAATCCGAGGGAGTCAGAGCAGGAAAAGGGTGGATGGGATGTGGGCTAAGGTCTACCTGCCATTGGTTATGTTCTCTCCTGGCCTCTGTGATGAGTGGGCAGGGCTCATGCAGTCCGCCCTGTTCTCTCAGGGAGGCAGAAAGTGTGAGGGCAACACAACTGGGTGGGCAGGCTTGAGTGAGTTACACTTGTATTTGGTATATTTTCATTTTCTGTTCATTGGACTTAGTACGAACCAGGTTCAGAGCTAAGGTCTGTGCAAACATTTTTTTTTTTTCTTTCATAATAAGTAATAGTTTTCCACAGATGAAACTAGAGGCTCAGGCTGTGTCCATGGACTTACTACTGGGGAGTAGCCAGACTGGTCCTCAAAACATCACATGGAAACCCATGGACCTGAGAGCCATGGGTGTTCTTTGCTCATGGTGCTTGGTCTCTCTGACACTCAGTTTCCCCACCTGGAAAATGAAATTGTTGTAAGGATCAGATGCAGTGCTGGTGTTGTTCAGGAGCTACTTGTTTATAGAATTTTCCTCATCCTCAGGGCTTGCTTAAAGTCTGGTGAGGGGAGAAATGACATCATAAATAGAAACATTGGGATAGCATGAGATTTTCTTGATCTCAAAATAGGGAAAGATTAAAAAGGTGATAAATTCAACTCCATCATAGAAATTTTGTTCAAGATAATCAGAGTGAGTGAGGAGCCTAACCCAGGGTGAGAAAGGATCTTTGTGACCCACATAGATGACAAAGGACTCCAGAGCTGCAGTCAAGAGAAAGCAGATGATACAATAGAAAAATGGGTGAAAGACCTGGAGGGCAGCCACAGAAGAATACCTAAGTGGTGAATAAGCATGTCAGAAGGTGTTCGGTCACATTAAGTCATCAGAAACCCAAGTAAGATGCCATTATACACTCAAAGGATTGGCAAATTTTAAGTCAGACAATACTAAGTTCTGATGAGGAAATGAAGCAACAGGAACAGATATCCAACTAGTGGGAGTGTAAATTGGTGTGAACAATTGGGGAAAACAGTTGGGTGTTTGCCAGTAAAACTGAAGACCCACCCTGTGAGCCAGTAGTTCCTTTCCAGGGATGGGACAGGACACAAGGCACACCCGTGTCAACACCTGAGCAGATGTTCACAGCAGCTTTGTTCATTCACAAGGGCTCCCAGCTGGATCCATGTATGAGGATCTTTGCAGAGGCAGTGAAACTAGACGGGGAAAAAATGCTTATTGCAAAAGAAAATGAAGTCACTGAGTTGTGTCCAATTCTTTGTGACCGCAATGGGCTGTACCCTGCCAGACTGCTCTGTCCATGGGACTTCACAGGCAAGGATCCTGGAGTGGGTTGCCATTTTATTTTCCAGGGGGTCTTCCCGACCCAGGATGGAAACCAGCTCCCGCACTGCAGGCAGACTCTTTACTGTCTGAGCTACCAGGGAAGCTTATTGCAAGAGTCTGGTAAAGCAAGAGAAGTGGGGAGGGGTTGCCTCGGGGAAGGAGACAGGTGTGGTGCATGGGAGCACAGAGGGCTGAGAGTGGCAGTTTCCACTTCTTGACCTGTATGGTGGTGATCCAAGACACTGTACTTTTCTGTAAGCTACATCTCAGAACAGTAGAAGATAAAAGGGAGAACAAAAATAAAGACCCCAGGATAGAGCAATTAGGTAATTAGTCAGAAATTATTATGCTTATTAGTAGGGATGAAGGTTCAGTGTAAGCCTGGGTCTTGGAAGTGTGAGAGGCCTCCTGGAAGGTCACCAGATGGCCAGAGCTGGGCACAGCTCGTGTTACAGGCTGCTTCCTTGAAGGGTGCCAGTCTGAAGCCCAGAAAGGTAGTAACGGGGACTGTCCCTGGAGTTTCAGGCCATACTATGTTTCTAATGTTACTCTGGTTGGGTCCAGGGTCTTCCAGCTGTCCTGACCTCTGATTAATCTTCACCTGCAAAATGATGGTGCTTACTAACTCAGGGTGTTTGTGAGAATAGACCAGCTGGTGAAAAGTCTTTGGAAATTGTTAGGTTGTTGTGCAAAAGATTTGTTGGTGTCAGCACAAAGGAATGACAGGGTAGGGGCAGGTGAGCTGGGGGCACTGGCCCTTGGTGAGTCGAGAGACTGGGCCGTGGCTAGTTTCCCAGGGAGCTGGGGCAGATTAAGTGCGGCTGCAGCTGAATTCCAAGTGACAGAAGAGCAGACCTAGAAGAACCCGAGGAGGTTCCTGGACATTTGGGGCTGCTTCTGCACCCCTCCCAGCATGTGCTGCAGCGTGGGCCTCCTGCTCCCCCACTGCCAGGTTCTCTTGATCGGGCTCCTGCCTGGCCTTGGTCTCCTTATCAAGCCAAGCTCTCCCCAACTCTTGCACAAATGGGTCTGTTGCAGAGAAGAACCAGTTCTCACTCCACACTGGAACTGTTTCTTTGACTTCCTGCTCTTCTTATGTGTTGTGTCAGCCACCGAGTCATGTCTGACTCTTTGTGACCCCCTGAACTGTAGCCCACCAACCTCCTGCCTATGGAATTCTCCAGGCAAGAATACTGGAGTGGATAGCCATTCCCTTCTCCCGGGGGTCTTCCTGTCCAGGAATTGAACCCCAGTCTTCTGCATTGTAGGTGAATTCTTTACTGTCAGAGCCACCTGGGAAGCCAGAACAAACTGGCCTGCCTCAAAGGACCCTGGCCCTCTGCCTGACTGTGGAACTAAAGTGCTTTTGTTCACCTCAGAGAGAGAGACTCTGACTCTGTCCCCCTGTGAATGACTACAAAAAAGGGATTAACACACCCTTTCCAAATGCTGGCCCTTCCCGGAGATGTTTTGGAAGACTGAAGGCCCTTTTTACTTTACTTCCTCACTGCCTCTCCCTCTCTGTTGTGCCTTTTGACTTTAGTTCCTCATTGCTTCTCCCTCAGGTTCTATAAAAGAGCCTGGCATCCAGACCCCAACAGGATGGTCATTTTGAGACATTAGTCTGCCATCTTCTCAGTCGGCCAGCTTTCCAAATATAGCTGTGTTCCTTGCCTCAGCACCTTGTCTCTGGGATTCACTGGCCTGTCGAGCAGAGGGAACTTGCACTCCATAACTGGTCTGTCCCTTTAAGGCAGACACCTGAGCCCAAAACAAACTTGTGACTATTCCTTGGCATCCCAAGATTGTTTTTCACAGCTGTGCTGAGGGGGTGGGGCAGCATCTGGACTGGGCAGTGACTACATGCTGGTCCCAGTCTCCCTGGGAGAAATCCCTGCCTTTCCTGACTGCGGGATTCTGAGGGTCTGAAAATTGGGGTTGGGATCGGGGAATCTTGGATGCTTATTCATAATATTCACCACAGTAATAGCTACCACTTACTAAGCACCAATACTTCATTGCTTATTGAAAACCACAACCTCTCCCCATCCCCAGGAAAGATTCTCAGAGGCCCCGAAGCACTAAAGATTAGTGTCCCCAGAGCAAAAAACACCACATACACCCCCACCACCTCAACAAGTTAATTAAAAATACAAACTGCCCCGCACTTGGCTTCCCTAGTGGCTCAGCGGTAAAGAATCTGCCTGCAATAAAGGAGACGCAGGGGATGCTGGTTTGATCCCTGGGTTGGGAAGATCCTCTGGAGAGGGGCATAGCAACCCATTCCAGAATTCTTGCCTGGAGAATCCCATGGACAGAGGAGCCCGGCGGGCTACAGTCTATGGGGTCTCAAAAAGTCTGAAGCCATTAAGCACGCACCCTGAATTCTTAAAATATTAATTGTAGAAAATTCTAACAAATGTCAAACTTTTCCTGTGTTGACTACTTCAGTGCTGCCTTTTATATTTTGTCAGATTATTCCCCCCAGAAATCATAGCCCTGGGACTTGCCCACTGGTCCAGTGGTTAAGACTCCCTTCCAAAGGGGGATGTGCATTCTATCCCTGGTCTGGGATATAAGGTCCTACATGCAGGGTGTGGCCAAAAAGTTAAAAATTGTAGCCCTGTTTTGCTGGTACCTCCAACATATGCCCACTTTACCTATGGGTGACCCAGTTTCAGGCCATTATAATTAGCAAGACCTTAGAAGACAAGAATTGTCACCTTTCTTCAGGTGATGACTGAGGCTCCCAGAGGTCACAGGGCTTGCTGGAAGCCCCCCAGGCAGTAAATGGCAGAGCTGGGACTATTCACACTCCTGGCCAGTTCTCATTCTTTGGGCTCCCTCTGGATTGAGAACACAGATTTGATTTTTACTTTACTTCCTCACTGCCTCTCCCTCTCTGTTGTGCCTTTTGACTTTAGTTCCTCATTGCTTCTCCCTCAGGTTCTATAAAAGAGCCTGGCATCCAGACCCCAACAGGATGGTCATTTTGAGACATTAGTCTGCCATCTTCTCAGTCGGCCAGCTTTCCAAATATAGCTGTGTTCCTTGCCTCAGCACCTTGTCTCTGGGATTCACTGGCCTGTCGAGCAGAGGGAACTTGCACTCCATAACTGGTCTGTCCCTTTAAGGCAGACACCTGAGCCCAAAACAAACTTGTGACTATTCCTTGGCATCCCAAGATTGTTTTTCACAGCTGTGCTGAGGGGGTGGGGCAGCATCTGGACTGGGCAGTGACTACATGCTGGTCCCAGTCTCCCTGGGAGAAATCCCTGCCTTTCCTGACTGCGGGATTCTGAGGGTCTGAAAATTGGGGTTGGGATCGGGGAATCTTGGATGCTTATTCATAATATTCACCACAGTAATAGCTACCACTTACTAAGCACCAATACTTCATTGCTTATTGAAAACCACAACCTCTCCCCATCCCCAGGAAAGATTCTCAGAGGCCCCGAAGCACTAAAGATTAGTGTCCCCAGAGCAAAAAACACCACACACACCCCCACCACCTCAACAAGTTAATTAAAAGTACAAACTGCCCCGCACTTGGCTTCCCTAGTGGCTCAGCGGTAAAGAATCTGCCTGCAATAAAGGAGACGCAGGGGATGCTGGTTTGATCCCTGGGTTGGGAAGATCCTCTGGAGAGGGGCATAGCAACCCATTCCAGAATTCTTGCCTGGAGAATCCCATGGACAGAGGAGCCCGGCGGGCTACAGTCTATGGGGTCTCAAAAAGTCTGAAGCCATTAAGCACGCACCCTGAATTCTTAAAATATTAATTGTAGAAAATTCTAACAAATGTCAAACTTTTCCTGTGTTGACTACTTCAGTGCTGCCTTTTATATTTTGTCAGATTATTCCCCCCAGAAATCATAGCCCTGGGACTTGCCCACTGGTCCAGTGGTTAAGACTCCCTTCCAAAGCGGGATGTGCATTCTATCCCTGGTCTGGGATATAAGGTCCTACATGCAGGGTGTGGCCAAAAAGTTAAAAATTGTAGCCCTGTTTTGCTGGTACCTCCAACATATGCCCACTTTACCTATGGGTGACCCAGTTTCAGGCCATTATAATTAGCAAGACCTTAGAAGACAAGAATTGTCACCTTTCTTCAGGTGATGACTGAGGCTCCCAGAGGTCACAGGGCTTGCTGGAAGCCCCCCAGGCAGTAAATGGCAGAGCTGGGACTATTCACACTCCTGGCCAGTTCTCATTCTTTGGGCTCCCTCTGGATTGAGAACACAGATTTGTGTCTCCTGTATGTGTGTGTTCAGTCGTGTCCAAATCTATGTGACCCTATGGACTGTAGCCTGCCAGCCTCCTCTGTCCATGGGATTTTCCTGGCAAGAATACTGGAGTGGGTTGCCATTTCATATTCCAGGGGATCTTCCCGACCCAGGGATTGAACTTTTTTTTTTTTTTTTCAGGGATTGAACTTTTATCTCTTATGTCTCCTGCATTGGCAGGTGGATTCTATACCACTAGCGCCTGCCTGGGCTCAAAAGCTAGTGTCACCATTTACTATTTACCAGGCTGTGTTCTTGGGCAAAATCAATCGTTTACTCTGTGTCCTGTTTACTCCTCTGTAAAATGGAGCCCTTGCTCACTGATCCCTACATCATGCTGGTCATGAGGGTTAAACAGTGCCCAGCTCAGTGCAGTGAGGACTCCTGCTTACCTGCTGTTTATATAGCACCTGGCCTCCCCTAAGCACTTATTGAAGCCTGGAAGCAACCCATTTCACAGAGGAGGAAACTGAGGCAGTGAGGGTTAAGTAACTTCTCCAAGGCTATGCACAGGAGACAGTTAAGAGCTTGCTGGTAGCTGTTGTTGGTTTCTCATATGGGATGGGTCTCTGTGAACTGTCCCAGTGCTGGCACTTGCGGCTGGGAGCTGTCGCGGTCCTTGCCCTCACCACCAGGTGTGCCTGGAGGGCAAGCAGCGTGGTGGTGATGCCCAGGTGTGCTCGGGCCTGTCCGCTGTCCTCCTCGGCACCCCGAAGGCGGCCTCGCGGGTGGACCGCCCAGGCTGGGTGGATCCCTCCCCGCCTGCGGGGGCGCGCGGCGCGCGGCGGGCGGGGCCAGGCGGGGCCGCGGAGCTCATAAAAGCGGCGCTGGCCGCGGTTGGACACCGACTCCGACGACCATGGCGCGTCCCAGCCTCCTGCTGCCGATGGCCCTGGCCTTGCTCGCATTCTGCCTCCTGGCGCTGCCCCGCGACGCCCGGGCCCGGCCAGGGGACCGCAAAGTCGGAGAACTGCAGGAGTTGTCACCCAGCGACCCGCAGGTGCAGAAGGCGGCGCAGGCGGCCGTGGCCAACTACAACATGGGCAGCAACAGCGACTACTACTACCGCGACATCACCATCCTCCGGGCCCACAGCCAGGTGCGGGCCGGGCCGGGCAGGGCCGGACCGGGGAAGGGGCGGTGCCGGCAGCAGGGGGCGGCGAGCGCGGCCCCAGCCGGGCCCCAGATGGAGGGGGCGGCATCTTAATACAACAGAGTTTTCAAAATCCGGTTAATGTCACCAGTCCCTGCAGAGCAGAATCTCAGAATTTCAAATAAGATTCAACCCTGAGTTGGCCTTGTCCTGAAAGGCAGACTGGGGTGCGGTGGGGTGAGGGAGAAGGGGCAGTTGCCTGGACTTGAGACTCAGGCTCCTGCCGGGCCCAGGCTCTGCCCGCCTCCCCAGAGACCCCCACCAGAAGTCCCTGCTGCCCTCTCCCCGCCTTTCCAGTCCCCCCATCCCAGGTCTGAATCCAAAGGCGGTGTGCTGGCTATGCCCAGGGGAAGGTGATGGGTGATGGGAGGACACAGAGGGACGTGAGCGGTCCAGGTCAAGGGTTGTCTCCAGGCACCCCTGACCTGTGCCCACCTCTGCCCCAGCTGGTGGCGGGCATCAAGTACTACCTGACCGTGGACATGGGGAGCACGGCCTGCCGGAAGAGTGCCGTGGCTGGAGACCACGTAGACCTCACCACCTGCCCCCTGGCCGCAGAAGCAGAACAGGAGGTAACAGCTGTGTCCCCAGTTAGGCATCAGCCCAGCAGCCGGCCCCTCAGGTTGCCCAGCCTGAACTGGTCTGGCTGGCCGGGCTGATGTCTGGCTGACTCAGCCCCGCGGCTAGGGTGAGGGTGCAGAGAGGAGCAGACTGGGGCCTCCCCTGGACTTGGGTGGGGGGGGCGGCGGTGGGAGGCCGGGGTTGGCTGGAAAGATCTGGGGTCTGGTGGTCCTGGCCATCTAATTCGCTGTTCCTTCTGCATCCCAGAGTGTCACAGGCACAGGGCTGTTGGGAAGCGGCGGCCTGGGGCCTGGGCTCACCCCACCTTTTTCATCCTTCTCTCTGCAGAAGCTGCGCTGTGACTTTGAGATCCTTGTGGTTCCCTGGAAGAACTCCTCCCAGCTTCTAAAGCACGACTGTGTGTCCCTGTAGAGACCCCTGTGGGCTCGGGGGAGGGAGGCAGCCAACGAGGCTGGGCAGGACTGGGCGCATGGGTGGAGGGCATGTCAGTTCCTTGGACCATATCTACGGCAATAAATTGCTAGCACTGCTTCTGGCATTCGTCTCTTCTGAGTCCCTCTCTCATCCCCCACTCCCACTCCCAGCAACCCCCCTCCAGCTGACAGGGTGCCCACACCACCCCAAGCTCGGCCTCTGCCATCTCAGCCCAGAAGATGCTAAGGGTGCAAAGTTCAGCTCCCAAAGTTGGAGTCCCCCAAATATCCCAGCATCACAGACAGAGGAATGAACCTCCAGAGACTCCCAGAGTTTGCCAAGTTATGGGTGGAGAAACAAAGTCACAGGAGAGAGATGATACCCCAGGACTAGAAGGAGATAGCAGCCAGGAGGGACTGAGGGGCACCTGAGCCCTGTTCCCTCTCAGCTGCCAGGACGGCTCAGAGTGGCACGTGGGGGTTCCGCCCACCCAGCCCCAGAACACTGAGCTCTCATCCCATGAGATTCTTAGACCAGCATGTGGCCCAGAGATGGCAGAGCCCCTGCTGGCCAAGACACACACACTGTGGGCCCCATGCCAGGAGGACTCCCCCACCCTCTGTCCTGAGCAAGACCCCTGGAAGGGGCTGGCAGGGAGCACCCAGGGGAGCGAGGTCAAATCCACCGTGCATAGGAGGGGTGAGGACACAGATGCAGTTTAATGTCCTTTAAAGAAATAGAGTTGGAACATGTTTAGCACACCTGAATCTGTGGCTGGAATTAACACTCACTACACAAGATGCACACCCGCATCCAGAACTTATCAAGACGCCAGACACACAGACACCCACACCCACCATGAACCCTCAGATGGCTCCCAGACACCACACACATATCCAGAAACACATACACGACCTAGCAACCCAGAAGCACAGACACACACACACGGGAACAACACCCCCACACTGAGGACAACCTGGAGCTGTATACACAGCCCCCCAGACAGACCCACAGGCCCCGGCTGGAGCTGTCTCAGATGCACAGAGGCACAGCCGTGGGTGCCTGGGACAGGATGGGCGGGAACCGGGTCCTGCAGGAGCACAGAGGGTGGGCAGCACCAGGCCCCAGGCGGGTGGCCGGGAGGTGAGGCCAGTGATCTCTCCACCCCGGGGATCTGTACCCAAGTCCCATGTGGCGTTTCCTCCGCACAGTCGGTCCGTCCTCTCGGCCGGGCCCGGGCTTGGGAGGAGACATGACCACTGTCTGGTCCAGAGTGGATGTAGACGGAGTGGCTAGGGAAACGGTCACCCCTCAGCCCCTACTCTGGGGTTCTGTCCCCGATTCCCTCCAGCTTCACTCTGCTAGAGGTAAGGTGGGTGTTGTGGGTGGTGGGAGACCTCCCTCCGGCTGGATGTGAGCAGGACTTAGCGCTCGGTGCCCACTGCCATCCCGGGCATCCTACGGGGGCGCTCATCCCTCGCTTTCGTCTACCAGAGGCTCATCCCCACCACACACACCCCTCCTCATCCCCACCCCGAGACCTGGAGGACTAGAGCAGCCTCCCTCCTCTCCCTCCCCGAGGCTCGTTAGCCTGACCCCAGGCAGGGCAGGGTATGGTGATGGCCTCTGCCTTCTGGGCTCAGGCTGCCCCCAGTGAGTTGGCACCCTGATACTGGATGCTGAGGGTGCTGGTAAGCCCGAGTTCCTGGGCTCTGAGCCCTCATTCCTGGAGCCTCCTGGTCCCTCGGGCTCCTGACAACCATGGGCTGTTCTAACCTGTTCTCCCGTCTCCTAGGACAGACCGGCCTCCCTCCCTGAAGCAGGGTGATTGCCCACTCTCAGTCCATCATTGAGCCTGGGCCACTTTCCACATCACCCCACCCCACCCCCGGCTGCTATTAAGGCCCTGCCAGGCCCAGACAGGATGCCAGGCCCCGGGGGGCAGGAAGGGATCCAAGGACATGCCTGTCACCCAGAACACTCCCATGTACACATGACGCAGGGTGCACGTGTATGCGCGCACACGGGTTCCCTTGTGCTTTGGCCGGGCCAGTGAGGACGCAGAACCAACTGGGGTTTCAAAACTCTCTTGGCCGCCTCCCCCCGCCCCCCACCCCTGCAGACCCAGTGATCCTTCCAGCGGATATGGGGGCTTGGCCGGAGTCGGTGGATAGGCAGCTAGAGGCTGAAGTCTGGACCCAGGCTGCCTCTCTGGGGGTCACTTTCTGAAGTCCTCTTCTCCAGCCTGCAGGGGAGGGGGTGGGAAGTGACGGCCCCGGCCTCTGCTTCCGGGAGGCCCACACTGCTCTCCTTTGGACCACTTCTGGGCACAAGCACCGCCTTCCAGTGCCCCGCCCCATCCACCTGGCTCCTCCCAGGTCCTGCCTGGTTCACCTCGAATGTGGTGTCCACAATCTCATCGATGACAGCGGCCTGGGAGCGGAATTTCAGCTGGTAATGCTCCACACCAGCCACCAGCTGCAGGAAGTGGAACAGGGTCTCCAGCTGCCTGAGGGCGGTGGAGAGGGGGCAAAGCCAGGCCATCTCAGCCCCCAGAGTGCATCCCCACCCCTCAACCCCCGCACTCACAGCACCCTATGCCTCCATTTTCAGCCATGGCCAGCCCTTTTCTGTGTGGGCTCCCCATGGTGTATCTCCTTTTCCACATATACCCTGCAGCCCCACCATCTGCCTGGACCGCGGAGAGTTCTGACTATTGTTTACCTCCCAACCACCTGCCCCTGCATCCGTCCAACCTACCCCACCCTGACTCATGCACCCACTCAGCCACCTACTGGCACACTTGCCCGGCTATCTATCCACTGACTCACCATGGGACCACCCCACCCTGTCCCTCTCTCACCTATCTCTCCATCCACCTGCTTTTCCCTGGTCCCACCCCCACCCACTACTCATTCATTAACTCCTTCACTGCCAGCCTGCCTTATCAATCCAGCCATCAAATAACACTGAAATCGGTGAACATCGCACGGTGCTTGGAGGACACAGAAACAAAACAGAAACAGCTCCTGCCATCAAGCAGCTCAGTCTGTGACAGCCCAGAAGGCAAACAAGGGTGTTTACACTGGTGACAAGTGTAAACACAGGGCACTGAGCGACCCACAGGTGGGAAACCTGATCCGGCACTAGGGGGTCAGGAAAGGCTTCTGGAAGAAGCATCACTGGGCTGAGCTTGAAAGACACTTTGAGGGTTTGCTAAGCATAGACAGGGCTCCAGCGCGCCCAGATCTGTGAACAGTGGGGACTGTCCTAAGGACCAGGCGGGCTTCAAGGAAGGAGTTTTCTGAGGATGGATGAATTCAAAATGAAGACATTCAGGGAAGGTCAAAGTGAGGTGCCCCGACCTTAAGCAAAGGGAGGCAGGAGCCCTTACAAAGCTGCAAACTCAGAGAAGGCAGGAAAAGCCATAACTTTTTTTTTTTAAACAAAAATCGCTAAATAAATAAAAAGAAATTAGAAGGAAGAAAGATTAAAACCAACAGGCAAAACAACAACAAAAACAAAGACCACTCTCAGTGGAGGCGAAGGTGGGCCAGTGGGGAAGAGTGTAGAGGCTGAGAAACCCCCAAAGAAAATATCACAGAGGAGTCAAGTCCCAGTCCACACTGGGGGCAGAGGAGCTGGGATGTGGAGGGTGGAGGGCAGCTGGGATGTGGAGGGTGGAGGGCAGCTGGGAGAGCAGCCAGGAGGTGAAAGGAACAGGACTGGATCTCAGCTCTTCCAGCTCTCGATCACCCATGTCTGCTGTCGGCAGCCAGAGAACGTCCCAGCAGAGAGAAAAGGGCGGGAGAAGGCCTGAAGATGGACACGTGTGTGCTGTGCTGTGCGTAAAGCCAGGATGGGCCAGGGCGGTGAGGGGGAGCCATGATCACAGAGAGCTTGGGGCTCGAGCTCTGCCGGCAGCAGAGAAGAGCCTGAAAGGCTGGTTTGGAGCCAGTCTGGATGAGGTGGGGCAGGCCTGACTTTCCGGGAGAAGGATCTCTGCGGAGCCAGGCCTAAGAGCCAGGAGTCTGTGCCAAGGACCCCTGCCGTGAGCACAGCCATGAGTCCCCAGCTGTCTGGGCCCGGCTGGCCCCTCAGGTTGACTTGACATCTACCTCCCAGGCCTTTTCTGAGCTGTTTCCTGACCCACCCTCCTCATTCCTGCAGCCAGAAGTCTACCCGCCCTCCGCGGCCCCAGGCAGCTCTTTAGAGAGGGTCCTTGGTGGCTCAATCGGTAAAGAATCTGCCTGTAACTCAGGAGATGTGGGTCCAATTCCTGGGTAGGGAGGATCCCCTGGAGGAGGAAATGGCTACCCACTCCAGTATCAGTTCAGTTCAGTCACTCAGTCGTGTCTGACTCTTTGCTACCCGATGGACTGCAGCACACCAGGCCTCCCTGTCCATCACCAACTCCTAGGGTTTACTCAAACTCATGTCCATCGAGTTGGTGATGCCATCCAACCATCCCATGCTCTGTCATCCCCTTCTCCTCCTGCCTTCAATCTTTCCCAGCATCATGGTCTTTTCCAAGGAGTCAGCTCTTCACATCAGGGGGCCAAAGTATTGGAGTTTCAGCTTCAGCATCAGTCCTTCCAATGAATATTCAGGACTGATTTCCTTTAGGATGGACTGGTTGGATCTTCTTGCAGTCCAAGGGACTCTCAAGAGTCTTCTCCAACACCACAGTTCAAAAGCATCAATTCTTCAGCGCCCAGCTTTCTTTATAGTCCAACTCTCACATCCATACATGACCATTCCAGTATATGGAGGAGGAAATGGCTACCCACTCTTGCCTGGGAAATCCCATGGTCAGAGGAACCTGATGGGGCCCAGTCCATGGGGTCACAAGAGTCAGACATGACTGAGCGACTAAACCAGCACCACCTCATGAGTTGGTGCCAGTCTGGGGCCCCTTTGTGCCTCTGAAGTCCTTACAAAACCCGGCCCAGGGCAAGGAACAGGCATGATTCTCAGATAAAAAGATGAGCAGAACCCCTGCTCCCACAGCCTCTGTCCGCCAGCCCTGCCCTGGTCCTTGGCCTCCGGGGCGGGGGGGCTCTCGTGGCCCTTCAGGCGCTGGTGGTGGGATCCTCTTGGTGGTACCAGGGGTCTCTGGGTGAACAGAAGCCACTCAAGGCCTCCACAGCCCACCCAAAGGCTCCATGTAAGCCTTAGGGCCCTACCCCTCTTCCAGAGAGGCAGGCAAAGCCCCTTCCCTGCCGCCCACCACTCAGGCCCCCAGGCCTCTCCCCTCAGACCTGACACCCCCCCTCCTTTTGCATCTCCTTACTTCTCAGTCAGGGCTCCAAATTTTTTCTCAATGAGCTGCTTCTGTATAGTGTGTTCACTTAGCACCTCTTTAGGCTCTGGTGTAGAGAAAGAAAGGGGAAGTCAAGCTGCTGCCTGGCAACTTCCCTGGTGGTCCAGTGGTTAAGAATCTACCTTTCGATTGTGTGGCTGGACTCGGCCGCCGCTGTGGTGTGAGGTGCGNGGGTTCGATCCCTGGTTGGGGAATTGTCCCCTTCTCCTCCTGCCTTCAACTGAAGACAAGCTGCTAAGTAATCTGAGACAATTAGTTCCTCTTTTTGTTTTAAGCTTTTTTTGCATTGAGTGCCCAAGATGGAGGGGGCAGGTGAGGGGCCAGGTGACACTTGAGGGCCTTTAATCCTTTGGTGTTGATGGTCCTAAGAGTGGGATTCCAGAGTTCAGATTCTAAAGTACTGAACATCTTTCAGTAGGAGGCAAAGCTCAAAATCTATTCACCCAGAAAATCAGATGTGTTTAAATGAACATGTACAGACTCTCAATTCACTTTGAGTGACTCTGGACAAGTATGTATAACACCTTGACAAAAGCCTCAAGGACAGCTGAAATCATCTCATATAAGACCAACTGTTATAAACTTTGTACATAACAGAAATGAATGTTTGGTGAATTGTAATGTGACTAGATCTCAGAGACTGCCGGGAGAAATATCAATAACCTCAGATATGCAGATGACACCACACTTATGGCAGAAAGTGAAGAAGAACTAAAGAGCCTCTTGATGAAAGTGAAAGAGGAGAGTAAAAAAGTTGGCTTAAAACTCAAAACATTCAAAAACTAAGATCATGGAATCTGGACCCATCACTTCATGGCAAACAGATGGGGAAACAATGGAAACAGTGACAGTCTTTATTTTGGGGGGCTCCAAAATCACTGCAGATGGTGACTGCAGCCATGAAATTAAAAGATGCTTGCTCCTTAGAATATGGCCAACCTAGACAGCATATTAAAAAGCAGAGACATTACTTTGCCAACAAAAGTCCATCTAGTCAAAGCTATAGTTTTTCCAGTAATCATGTATGGATATAAGAGCTGGACTATAAAGAAAGCTGAGCACAGAAGAATTGATGCTTTTGAACTGTGGTGCTGGAGAAGACTCTTGAGAGTCCCTTGGACTGCAAGGAGATCCAATCCGTCCACCCTGAAGGAAATCAATCCTGAATATTCACTGGAAGGACTGATGCTGAAGCTGGAACTCCAATACTTTGGCCATCTGATGCAAAGAACTGACTCCTTGGAAAAGACCCTGATGGTGGGGAAGATTGAGGGCAGAAGGAGAAGGGGACGACAGAGGATGAGATGGTTGGATGGCATCACTGACTCGATGGACATGAGTTTCAGTAAACTTTGGGAGTTGGTGATGGACAGGGAGGCCTGGGGTTCTGCAGTCCGTGGGGATGCAAAGAGTCGAACACGGCTAAGTGACTGAACTGAACTGAATGTGGCTAGTTAGTTGTTTTGCAAATGGGTCTATCAAGAATTGACTCTCAGTGTGGTGGATAGTCGTGGAGTTCTTTGGACCAAAGTTCTAAGCTCTGAAAATTCTCCTGAGTCTCAGATTCTAAGACTCTAAAAGCTAGGCCAAGAGTATTCTCTGGTGGTCTATTGGTTAGGACTTGGCACTTTTACTCCTGGGACCTGGGTTTGATACCTGGTCAGGAAACTGAGATCTCGCAAACCACCCAGTGTGGCCAAAAATAAATAAATAAGTAAAGTTGGTCCTGGCACTCTTCATCTGTCAGGGAAGACGCGGGGTGCTGGTACCTGCTTCCATCAGCTTTGTCACTGAGTCATCCAGCAGCTCTTCATGGAGCTCAGCCGCCTTCTGCAAAGAAGACGCTTCCGTTCTGCCAGAGTCCCATGTCTGCCTGTCCCAGAGCACCTTCTATCCTTCCCTCCAGCTTCTGTGCCCCCCTCCCCATGTCTTCCCGATGGGTCCACCCGCCCCATCCCCTCAGTACCTCCTGCTTCACTTTCTCCAGGCCTTTGAGCAGCGCCATCTGGAAGTTATCCACCAGGACAGCAATCACCAGGCTGAGGCGAGAGACAGGAGGGGGCTGGAGGGGAGGCTGCACCCTCCTCTGGGTTTGTGGTGGCAAAACCATAGTGAGAGGGGAGCAGAGGGGGTGCCCCTGGGGTTAGGTTGGGGAAAGTGAAGCTGGGGCGGGCGTGCAGTGGGGCAGACCCTCACTTGAGGAAGATGAAGTACTGGATGATGATATAGATCATGAGAATGGGGATGATGTACCAGGCTCCTGGAAGAGACGGGGTGGGCTCCTTTGAGCTTCGAGTGCCTTGCCAGTCCTCACCGCACCCCGGCCAGCACGGTTCAGAAGTCCCACTTGGCAGATGGGATAACTGAGCCCTCAGGGTCTGCCCACCCAGACAGCCCCTGCCCTCCACCCAGCCTGAGGCCTGCCTTACCGTTGGCCCGGCTGTCTAGGTAGATGAGGGACCAGTCGTCCAGGGTGAGCATGGTGAAGAGGGTGAAGATGGTGGTGAAGATGTTCTGGAAGCGTTTGGGATCAGAGTAGCGGAACAGTGCCCGGAGTACCACAGAGAACAGGACTGGCTATTGAGGATCAAATCTGGCTCACAGGGTCCTCTCCCCCTCTTCCTCTCCTCTCACCGCCCCCAACTTCCGATTCTGCCTCACCACTCTGTCCATGACAGCACCTTACACTCCCACCCAGCCCCACGACATGGATACAGAGGCAGGTAAACATGAGGATGAGGATGGCAGTGATGGACGGCAAGGACCGGGCCAGGGTTCCGGTCACTTCCTGGAGGTTGGTCAGGAATCTGTGGGCAGAGGTTTAGAGAGAGGCTCTGTCAGTGGTGTGGGCGTCTGTGCCCAGAAACCGATGATGATGACACATTTCAGACTGCTGATGACGGAGGTGGTAGGTCCCTGGTTTGCTAGTTACTTTGCAGACGGTCCCAGCCCCTCTCTGGAAAATAAGAGATTGAGCCTAGTGAAAGGCAGGAGACTCATCAGAAAAGCATTCTGGAAATCTACAGCTTTGTCGTGGGCAGCTGTGGTCCTGCTAACCTGAGCCTCCGAAGGACTCGGATCGCGCGCAAGGCTCGCAGGGTCTTAAAGACCTTGAAGATGCGGAAGATGCTTTGGTTGTGGATCGCACGCGTGGAGGAAGAGTTGACCTGTATGAGCGTGAAGTCCACCACACCCATTACCATGATGAAGAAATCTGCAGACACAGGGATGCCCGGATGTCACGGACTGCTGCCCAGGCCCACAGCCCTCCCAGCACTAACACCCCCTGCTTCTGTCGCCTCTGGGCAGTTCAGGGGCTCCCGCTACACACACACACCCAGGCCCCATCTCTACCCACCCAGGTTGTTCCAGGGGTCCAAAAAATACGCGAGGCCGAGAGCAATGATTTTGAGCATAGCTTCCACCATGTAGATGGAGAGGAAGATGTAGTCCAAGGCCGTGAAGTACCACTCTGTGAGGACACGGGGTGGGGAGGGAGGAGAGAGCCCTTGCTTAGGCCAACCCCTGCCCCCAGCAACCCTTGCCGCCTCCTCCTCACTGGAACCTCACTTGCAAGCGGCCATTTAGGGAGAAGCTGGCTCTGTCCAATGGCTGTGCGTCTCAACTGCTCTCTGCCTCACTTTCCTCGTCTATGAAATGGTGATAATAACACTCTGTCTGATAGAATTTTCATGAGAATTAAATGCATTTCACATAGTAAAGGGCTTCCAAGGGAGACTTAAACCGCTTGCAAGAAACATCAGCCCACTCTTTTTCCTCCTTTGTTTATGGGTCCTGTGGCAGGTCCTTTCCTTCGCTCTGCTCCCTGGAGTCTTAGGGACGGTCTTCCCAGGTTTCCCAACCTCCTCCCTCCAGGGTCTCCTGGCCTCCAGGGCCTCCTGATCCGTCCAGCGGACGTGGGTTCTGGGCATCCTTCCTGCGCAGATCAACATACTTAGAGCTGACGCGCCACCTGGTGGCTGTAGTCACAAACAGCACACACTCCAGCTTAGAAGACCCTCCTGTCTCTGGCGGTCTGGTTGACTTCAGCAAAACTCTCTGAGACTTCAGCAAAACTCTCTGAGCCTCACTCTAACTGCTGGGCAATGTCGCTCACCTCTCAGGGTGAGGATCAAATGCGCTAAGCTGTTTAAATCACCCGGAACTTGGTCAGGCTCACAGGAGGCCCAGAACAACATCAACGGCCTTCTTGACGTGAACAGGGCTCCCTGGCTCTTACCGCCCCGGATCTCGACTTCAGCGAAGGTCTGCGCCACAAGCATGATGGTGTTGAGGCAGACGATGAAGATGATGAAGGTTTCAAGGGCCAGGGAGTCAACCAGTTTCCTCAGCATTCTCCGAAGGCCCCAAATAAGGTGGCTTAATTTTTCCCACAACCAATACAAGAAATCCGAAGAGTGCACCTTCTTGTGGGTCCGTGGGGCTCGGCCATCTGTAAGGGGGCCAGAAAGGCAAGTTCTTGAGGACAACGGACCCAGGGGTCTGGGCACCCTCCCAGGCCTGCCTGCCATGAGCTCACTCGGGGGCCGGCATGCTGGTCCTGCGCTGGTATAGAAGCCAAGGCTTGACCCTTCCTTGCAGGTGCCAGCCTGCTTGGGATTTGAGCATATTTCAGGGGCTCAGGCTCTTACACTCCACGCGTTTTACTCACACGGCAGCTTACACATGGAAGACCCAGTCTTCCTCGCCACCCCATCCTCTTGGTAACCTCGTCCTCTCCCTGCAAGATGTTTCTGACATGTCTCCCCCCTCCTGACTGCCTTATCTTCCACAATTAGACACACATCCCTTGCTTCTTGTTCAAGAAGCTAATGCAATGTCTACTGAACTACTAGGGAACAATTTGGGGGGATTATATGTTAATAGGCAAGGTCCTCCCTGCCCTCCAACCAGGCCCTCGTTCAGGCACTGGTTCCTCCCTCTGTCCTCAAAAAGGTCACAGTTTAGCGGGGGAAATGTGGACAAACAGAATCCAAAATGGTAAACGTTCTGATACAGACAATGGACCCCTTCACTGGACAGTCTGAGTTTGGTCATCTAAGTGACCTACACCAGCTTTCACATCAATAATAGGAAACGTTTGAGAAGTGAACATGAGAATGAAGGACAGTGACTGAATGAACCAACAATTGATGCCTGAAGAGGTGCCTAATTCCAGGAATAAAAAACTGGAGGATGAACGGTCAGGCGCGTTAAGAGCCAATGGACTACACCTGCAGGCGAGAGCGAGCCTTGTGAAGGACGGGCCAGGCCTGGCTCAGGTCTGGAGCCTGGGCCAGGCGGCTGGAGTTGGGGGCGAGGGGTGAGTTCAAGACGCACCTTTGCGCTTCTGAACATGCCCATCTTCTTCAGGGCAGCTTTCTGAGGTCTTAGAGGAGGAGTCCTGAGGACAGACTTTGTTGGAGGTCTCGGAGGGGTGCAAGTTCACTGTGCTGAGGGAACGAGCCACGCTGAAGGCAGAGGTCTTTCGGCCTGGCTTGCTAGGCTGGAAGACTGCTGGACGAGAATAGGCAGAGCCGAGGGAGCCTAAGGTCACGGTGTGGGGCATGTACGAGCCAAAGAGTTGGGAGCTTCCATGACGGTGCTCCCCATGGTGGTGATCTCGGTGGGGGTAATCACGAGGATGCGTGCCATGCTGGTGCTCGCCGTGGTGGTGCTCGCCGTGGTGGTGTTCACTGTGCTGGTGCTCGCCGTGGTGGTGCTCGCCGTGGTGGTGTTCACTGTGCTGGTGCTCGCCGTGGTGGTGCTCGCCGTGGTGGTGCTCGCCGTGGTGAGGTGGGCCATGGTGGTGGGACATCATGGAGGTAGGCCTTCTGTGGTGGTGCCTACCATGATGATGGGCCTCACTGAGGTGGGAGTGGTTACTAGATTGGGTGGAGTCTTTATGGTGGTAAGCCTCACTTTGGCGATGGAGCCCACTATAGTTGGGAACCTCAGTGTGGTGATGAAACCCACCATGGTGGTTGGGCTCCCTATGTTGGTGGGACCTCCCATGGTGTCTCCTGCCATGGTGGCGCTCATGGTCAAAGTGGTCCTCACCATAGGACTGGTGGGAGATGAGAGCATCATGGGAAGGATCCTGGGAAAGGGATGTGGAACAGTGGTCTCTACCATGATGGTGGGACTCACCATGACTGGGGGAGTGATAGGAGTGGTGGGCATGGCGAGAGAAGACATTGTCATGGAAGTCTTGGAATTCATCAGGGTGGTGAGGTCCACCACGATGATGGGATAAGCCATGATGGAGCGACTCACCATGGTGATGGGATGCACCTTGGTGATGGTGGTGAACTCCACCGTGGCCTGGCCTATGGTATGGGGTTGATGAGCCAGGGTGAGAGAACACATCTGAGTCATCAGTGTCTGCCTCATTTTGAGCCTTTGCAGACATGGAAGGTTGATCTGAGACTATGCTGGGAACCCTGGAATGAGGAAAGCTTGACATGTGTGCCCAAAAGAGCCCTTTCTGGATCACCTGTCTCGCCTAATCACCTAAGCCATCATACTGGGGCTTCTAGGAAAGCCTGACTTCTCATGGAATTCTACCCTCTATGATGTCACAGGCAGACCTCTACTCAGACCTAATTTCCAAATGCCTCCTCCTAAGCTACAGTTCAAAGATCATTGTGTCCAACTCTTCATTGTAAAAGGAGGAAACTGAGGTCAAGAAGGGGAAGGGACTGGCCCAATGTGACCCAGTAGGTCAATGGCAAAGCTGGACAAAGAATTTCAGGGTGACATCAGAGGCCCAGCAGTTGCTTTACCTCTGTTACTGGAAAAAAAACTTTTAAGAAGCCAGATGGTCCAGTTCTCAGTTGTACCTAGATACCAACTGGCTCTGAGGTTCAAACTGCCCACTTCCACTGTAAACAGGTATGTGACCTTGGTCTAGTTGCTTAATCTTCCTTTGCTTCAGTTTGTTCTTCTATAAAATGGGGATAATAACAGCTACCTCATAGGGGACCAAAAAGTTAAAATATAAAGCTTATAGTAATAGCACAATAAACGGTAATTAGCATTGTCATCCTTGTCTCGATGGTTGACAGTAATGGAAGCCTCCCTCTTGGGTTATTACTAAAATTAAACTAACAGCCAATATTTATTGGAGACCAGCTTTATGCACTTTAAATATAATCCTCACAATAACTCCACAGGATGGATAATATTATCCCCATTTTGTTTTATCCCAATTTGGAAATGTGGCTCAAAGAGTATAAACAAACTGCTCAATAAATAAGAACTTATAAAGTCAGCACTCATTCCAAGCTTTCCACCATGCTGTCCTGTCTTCCTGCTGAAATCCACCAGAATTCATCTGTGACCAGTGCAGTTCTTCTGGAACTTTCAGATTCCCACTTTGACTACAGTTGTTTCCTCAGTGCTTGGTCATGGCTAAATTCATAGTGCCATTGGGTACCAGGTTCCCAGTGATGAAAGAGATATGGCCCTCAAGGGGCTCAATGTCTGTTGCCAGCAGCAGACAAGGAAAGAATTTTTAATAGGACAGTTATTCCACAGTTACATTCTCCTCTTCCTCCTGATATGTTCTCCCAAATAGAGGCGATATTTCCCAGTGTGCCTTCATCTAGGCTGGCCAAAGAGTGAGAGCGGAAGCAGTGCAACAACTTCCGGGTCTTCAATTTAAGGCCCTGGACGTGGGCACGTGTATTTCCATGCTTCTTTTGGGCTGGAGCGTGGATTAACCAGCAAACAGGAGTGATAGTCTAAGGCAGAGATTTCTGAGTTCTGCAGAACCACAGAATTTACTTGAGATGTTTCTAGGTTAGGGATTCTGTCTTGTGATGAGAAAAAGAAATCAGTGTTATTTTTGAACCTCGTGTGCTGTGCGATGCCAACGGTTTCAGGGATGGACCCCAATGGAGCAGCCTCTGAACTTATTTGTGAGGGGTGGTTCAGCCCCGGCTGCAGTGCTCAGTGGGTGGGGCCTTGCTCAGTTTTCAGCATGAGATCAAGAAGTCTGTCCATCATGTGTGAACATGCTGTTGCCTGGAGAGGAGGAGGAGGTAAAGATGGATGACTTCACCCTTGTCCTCTGGGTTTCCTCCCCCTTACGCACGGATGACTGACTTAGGGGGCAAACACACTTTCTGATGTGGTAGAGAATGAGAGGAGGGACTTCCCTGGTGAGCCAGTGGTTAGGACTCTGCGCTTCCACTGCACCTGGTGCTGCTTCAATCCCCGGCCGGGGAACCTAGATCCCGCAAGCCAGGCATTGCAGTTTCAAAAAAAAAAAAAAAAATCAGAGGCAGTTTTTTTCTGAAGAAATATTTTTTTCATGACTTCGTGGCGTTCCTACCCACTCCAGTATTCTTGGGCTTCCCTGGTAGTTCAGACGTAAAAAATCAGCCTGCAATGCGGGAGAGCTGGTTTGATCCCTGGGTTGGGAAGATTCCCTGGAGGAGTGCATGGCAACCCACTCCAGTATTCTTGCCTGGAAAACCCCCATGGACAAAGGAAACTGGTGGGCTACAGTCCATGGGGTTGCAAAGATTTGGACCCAACTGAGAGACTTAACACACACAACGGCCTCCCTGCCATGTTGCTGTTGATATGAACAATGTAAAACATGAATTATGTAGGTTAGAAGTGAATTTCAGAATGATTTAATATTTTTTGCTAGTTTCCTGTTTAGTTATTATGATGCCCTTTCATTGTATATCTTATTAGTGTTTGTGTTTTACAAACCCGTCTAGTGATTCAACGTGGTGATGTTTTATTATGAAGTGTGAAGTGAAAGAGGAGGAGCTTAGGACTGTGGACAAATCTGGCAGGCTTAGTGATGAAAAATTACAATTTACAAATGTAACCCTGGCTTTAGAAAAATTGAAGAGAACTTAACTATAAATTACAGCCATTTGATAATAAATAGCTAATTTTAATCTATGGTATCACAAAGCAAACAGATCAAGGCTTTTATAAGCCACATTTGTTATATTAAAAAGCCTCAAAGAACAAGTTATTTGTAACAGACCGATTGTTCAGAAAAAAAGAACCTAATAATGCTAGTGTGTAAAATTATATGAGTGAACTGTTAGCACAAGATGCTCAACAAAAGAATGGAAAGATTCTACTCTCAGAGGGAGCAACAACGAGACATACTGATGTCACATGATGGTGAAGACATTTTTTTTTTCTTGGTAATTAACTGAAAAAACAACAGATTCTTTATCCAGGCTGATGAGTCAACAGATTTCACTGACAAATGCCATTATCCCACTTGTAAGATTTGTAAATGATGGTGATAATCAAGAAAAAAATTTTTTTCTGCTGCAGCTTTTACAAACAACCAGCCAAGATATGGTTAATGTTTTACTCATATCTGGACTCAAAAGGTCTGTCTTAGAAGAACTATTTTGGCATATAAAAAGCTTTTTTTTGGAGTCTAGCTGATTTACAATGTTGTGTTAGTTTCTGCTGCAAACTGGATCTGTTATATATATAAGCATATATCCACTCTTTTTCAAATCCTCATGTGGGTCACTACAGAGTTTTGAATAGAGCTCCATGTGCTATACAATAGGTCCTTATTAGTCCTCTGTATTTTATGTAGGAGTGTGTACGTGTCAGTCCCAGTCTGCCAATTTGCCCTCTCCCCAACCTCCTGGTCTAGGCATTTGAACTGATGGCATTTCCATCAAAAGTTGGTCCAGGAGTTCCTTGGTGGTCCAGTGGTTAAGGGTGCACCTTGCAATACAGCAGACACTGGTTCAGTCCCAGGTCGGAAGCTCCCACATGCCATGGAGCACCTAAGCCCGAGCGCCGCAACCGCTGAGCCTCCGTGCCCTGCAGCCGGTCCTCTGAAACAGAGAAGCCACTGCACTGAGAACTTGCACTGCAACGAAGAGTAGGCTCCTCTTGCCACGACTAGAGAAAGCCTGTGTGCAGCAGTGAAGACCCAGGGCAACCAAAAATAGACTTTTTAAAAGTTGGCTCCGTGAGAGTTTTCACTGCTCATATGAAAAACCAAAACCAATCAAAACCCAGCAAGAAAAAAAAAAACTTGATGTTGCCACGCACATTACTTTCCATCCAGGAAGGTGCTGGTGTCAAAAACTGTTGGAGATGAAAAAAAGAATGATGGTGCAAAATGTTAGCCTGGTGAAACCAAAACTAGTTTACTTGAGAGTGTTTAAATTATGCTGTGATCATGATGCAGCAATTCACACCTGGTTATGCACCAAAAACATGGAAGGCAGAGGCTCAAACCGATATCTGTCCACCTGTTTGTGGAGGCATTATTCACAACAGCCAAGAGGTGGAAACAACCTTAATGACCTTGGACAGATAAAGAGATAAAATGTGGCTCATAGATACGATGGAATATTATTCAGCCTTAAAAGAAAGGAAATTCTGACAGCATACTACAACATAGTTCAGTTCAGTTCAGTCGCTCAGTCGTGTCCGACTCTTTGCGACCCCATGAACCATTGCAGGCCAGGCCTCCCTGTCCATCACCAACTCCCGGAGTCCACCCAAACCCATGTCCGTTGAGCCGGTGATGCCATCCAACCATCTCGTCCTCTGTCATCCCCTTCTCCTCCTGCCTTCAATCTTTCCCAGCATCAGGGTCTTTTCAAATGAGTCAGCTCTTCACATCCGCTGGCCAAAGTATTGG